AGAGAGGTGGTATCTCGGCATGGAGTACCGATCTCGATTGTGTCAGAATGAGACGTGCACTTTACTTCCAGGTTTTGGAAAAAATTTCACGAGTAGTTGGGCATGCGCTTACATTTCAGCACTGCGTACCACCCGCAGACAGATGAACAGAGCGAGCGGACAATTCAGACACCTAAGGACATGTTGCGTGCATGTGTCATGGACTTCGGAGGAAGTTGGGACACCTACATAGCACTGACTGAGTTCTCTTATAACAACAACCATCATTCAAGTATTGGTATGCCTCCTTTCGAGCTCCTGTATGGGAGGAGGTGTCAGACTCCCATTTGTTGGGGAGAAGTGGGGCAGAGGGTGATGGGCGGCACAGAGATAGTGCTGAGGATGACGAGCAGATTCAACATGTCAGACAGAGGTTACTGGCAGCCCAAAGTTGCTAGAAGAGTTATGCGGATAGGCGACAGTCCAAGATAGAATTTCAGGTCGAGGACTTTGTGCTTCTGAAGGTATCCCCATGGAAAGGGGTGATCCGCTTTCGTAAATGGGGTAAGATAGATCCCATCCCCTAAGGTAATGGCAAGCCAAATGACCAAAATGCCCAAAACTGGGCAGTTGCGCGGGTACTCACGCGACGGAAATTCCACCCGCACAAGTGCTGCTGGAATGCTATTGGCTCATTTTTCCTCCACTAACCATCCCATTACCAAAGATTCTCTTGGTCCCCTCCATATCCTACATGATTTAAACTAGTCAATCATCTTTTAGCTTCAAAAATAAATGCTCCAAGCCCAAATTAATTATCCATGATCCATCTTTACAAGCCCACTTCATCTAAGCCTTTATCTTTTTAAGCCCAAATCACCTTTGGTGGATCCACCAAGCCCAATAATACATCGAAAAGCCCACTAAGCCTAACTTCAGTTAAACCGCGATCGCAATGAGCTCCAAAACCCTGCAAAATTCCTCATGTAAAATAAAAAGTCCCCGATACGGACCATGATAAAGAAAATAAAGAATATACAATACAATATTAATAAGAATAGCTAAAAATCTAAAAATAAACTAATAAAAATAAAGAAATAAAATAAGCTATCATTGCTAACAATATTAATTATGGAACATCCAAGTAAAAAAAAAAACATAAACCGTAATGGCCATAAATTTAAAAAAAAATAAAAATAAAAAAAATAACGGCTCAATTCAAAAATAAGAAAAATTAAAGAAAAAACGGTTTCGACATAGTTTATTGTTTGAATCAAAATAAGTAAAAATATTAGAAAAAAACCATAATAACTTAAATTATAAAATAAAAATAGAAAGTAAAATATCAAAAATATTTAAAAAAGTTATCAAATTGTTGAATATATATATATATATATATATATATATATATATATATATATATATATATATATATATATATATATAATTTATACATATACAAAATTTTAAATTTACAAAATTACACAAATGTTTATTCAGATTTGTAGTATATTAAAATTTGGTACACAGATAAAATAGTTTTTTTTATTAAAATCTAACAGTTGAACTGAATTGTTAGATTTAAGGTAGGAAGATATTTGATGTAATTTTGTAAACCAGACTAATGGGTGATATTTTCTTTGAAAATCCCAAAATAAAATATTTTATAGACCAACTTAGCCAATTATGAAATTTTGTCATAAGAAAATAATCAACCAAAAATACTATAAATACACCTAGAACCCTTTCTGATGAATTGTCCGTCCGTCGCCATCTTCACCGTTTCGGCATCATCAAACGGTCATCTTTACTTCATCAAGTTCGTCATCTTTTACGCATGAACATCAAAGTTTATAGAATGTTCCATTATAAAAGCTATACCCATGATAACAACTACGTGAATAGCCAAAAAGTAAGGTTGATCACTATTTTCCATTTCATTATATAATAGTGTCCTTCCCTTTTTAATACTAAATGATACTTATAGTCTTCAAAAATCCCTCATTGGATTAAAATATGTATACTATTTTTATTTTATACTTACTGTTTCCAATAAGAGATAGTGGAACATACACGTGTAGGTATTTTGGTTTGAAAGGATTTGCATTTTTCTTATTGCTTTTAAATAACATTCAATTGTAAATGTATAATAACTCGTCATATTTATATATATGTTGGAGAATTAGGGATACCACCTTGTATGATGTAGCAGGAATAAACGATTATAACAATATAATTAGTTTCAAAATCGAAAAACATATATGGCATTAGGTTTGATGGAAAATAACATAATATTAGTATTTTTTTTTTTTTTTAATTTTTTTATTTGAACGTCTATAGATTTTATTTTATTTTATTTTATTTTATTTTATTATTATTTTTTTTTTTTTTGTATTTCAACAATATTATGTAAGGAAAAAAGTATTGTATAATGATATAAACAAGAAAACATAGTTTATAACGATATAAAGTAAGACATATTTTATAGCTTAATATATCTTATCTAATATATTTTGATTTAAAAATAAAATCATATCGATACGTAGATAAAAATAAAATGATGTAGATGATATATTTGGATTTATGAAGACCATTAAGTAATATGAGTAGCAAATTTTATAATGATACAATAAAATAAAACGTATTTTATATGAAGAAAAATGAATTTTCTATAGATAAATATAAGATGGTTTCAATTAGGGGTGAACATTTGGACCGGACCAGCTCTTGGATCGGACCGGTTAGGGAGAAAATCGTGGACCATGGACCGGACCGGATGCATCGTGTCCGTGTCCGGGTCCGGGTTTTCCGGTTTTTGGACACGTTTGGACCGGTACCACTTTAGTTGCGTAAAGTATAAGTAATCTACATTGATGTAAAATATTATAACTTGCAAACTTAATTTTCCAAATAAAAACAACTAATATATATTTCAAGTTCACCAACAAAAGTTAACAATTTAAACACAAACATACAAAAATAATACCATAGCAACAAAAAACATAGTTTAAAGTTTAAACTTTAAAAGCAATCAAAACAACAAACTTCATAAACTCATAATCTAATCTTCCATTGGCTTCTTCCCCTTATCATTATCATCAATATGTAATATATTTAAAGCTTGTGCAATCTCTACATAAACACAAATGAAAATGTTGTTAGTATTTAATAAAAAGTAATATTGTATAAAAAAAGAACAAAGCTTGTAATTTTTTTTTACCCAAAGCTATATCATCATCGTTCAAGATGTCATCAACGTTGTCAATTATCGGATTTGTAGTTTTTCTCACCCAATCTTGGGTGCATAACAAAGCTTCAACTATCAACGTTGATAAACTAGTCCGATACTCACTTACAACTCTACCACATGTGCTAAACGCGAACTCGGACGCTACACTTGAGATTTGTATCGCCAATATATCTAACAACAAAGAATTAAATTGTAATAACATTAATTTATAAATAAATTATGAAAGTATAAAAAAAAGTAATCACCTTTCGCCATCCGAGCAATTGTTGGGAACCTAATTGCGTTTACTCTCCACCACCCGAGAATTGAGAAATCTTTTTTATAATTAACTATATTCTCTTTCAAATAAGTTCGTAACTCGTTATCCGTTGGATCCGAGTTGCTACCTCCCGTACAAAGAAAATCACCGAAAAAATCATTATCACCATCAACATCAATGGCTATTTGACTCGCTTCTTGTTGAGATGATCCACCGCTGTCAAATCGTTCCAAGTAGGTCATAAATAAATTTTCCATCCTATTCTCAACCTCTCGGACCATTTGACGTGCTTTTATGTCTATGCTCACGGGGGTCAATGATGGTTCCATGTACCCGATCATTTTTTTAAAAGCATGTAACAAAAAAGGTGATTTGGTGGTAGGATCAAGTAAAACCGCAAAGTACATAAAATCATTCATCTTGTTGTATGCACCCCAATACTTTTCGTATTTCGTCCTCATATCTTTTACCATATCGAGAAACATTGGTTTGGTTGACCACTTTCTTAGATGTATGTCCACATCTAAGACTTCCCTGATAAAAAGATTTACCAAAGGTTTTGATGTAGCCGAAACAAGCTCTGTTTTTGTTTTGAATTTTTCAAAGAATTTCACCATTTCGGTTACAACTTCAAAGTCATAATTTTCCGGTACTCTACCGATATCCCTTTCACATGATTTATCTATCAAAGATACATAAACAAACAAAATTATAGTCTAAACAAAATCTTAATAATTTTGCTGAAAAGATGATATATAACTTAAAAATAAATATTACCTCTTATGCCAAATTCCGTAAATGCCTCTCGTAACTCATATGCGGACTTCAATAACTCGAAAGTCGAGTTCCATCGGGTAGGAGTGTCACCACATAGAAACTTCTTCGTTTGTAAGCCACAATCTTTCATCGCCTTCTTGAACTTGTTTATTCTATGTGGTGACAATCTAATGTACCGTACCGCCTTTTGGATACACTCAACATGATAGTTTTGGTATTTTAGTCCATCCTTTACGATAAGGTTTAAAATGTGAGCCATACACCTAACTTGGAAATGCTTTCCACCCTCGTAAAGATTGGGCAACTTTTTGACCAAAAAGTCCATTGCCTTGTCGTTTGTAGCGGCGTTGTCCAAGGTAATGGTCATGACATTTTTCATTCCCCATCCACGAATACAATCGAGTAATTCTCGGCCCATATCCTCTCCCTTATGGCTATCTATCTCCTAAAGTTTATAATTCTCTGTGCATCATCCAATTCTCATCTATGAAGTGAGCCGTGACCACCATGTAAGTAGTCCTTTGACAAGAAGACGTCCAAGTGTCCGTTGTCAAATGTATAGCGGTCTTTGGGTTACTTAAAAATTGAAGCATTTTGGTTCTTTCTTGTATGTAAAATTTGGAAACATTTCGGGATATTGTATGTCTAGATGGCAACACAACCTTAGCATTAAGTGCATTGGTGTATTCCACAAAAACCTCGTTTTCAACGAACTTGAAAGGTAATTCGCCTACCACAAAAAGGTTAAGTAATGCTTTTTTGATCCTTGCATCATCGTGTTTCCATGTTTTAACACTAGTATCTCCATTTGACTCCTTTTTTAGATTCAATTTGGTTTGAGTTGGATCTTGTAGCTTATTCGGGTTTTTTTGACACCGATCTACGTGTTTGAGTAAACTAGAAGTCCCATTCCTTTCCACATCCGCCTTTAGTAGCCTTTCACACCATTGACATTTTCCATATCTTCTTTCCATACCATCATCTTCTTTTATCATAACTTTATCAAATGAGTCCCAAACAAGAGGATGTTTCTTTGCCACTTGTTGTTTGTTTGGTTTTTTTTTTTTTTTTTTTTTTGTGACTTGTTTTCGTTTTGCTATTTGTTCTTTTTCGTTTGTTAACATTTGATTGATCATCTTTTGCCGAATCATCAACTAAATTGATTTGTGGTGTATCCTCAATAAATTCCTCTTCATCAACATTCGTATCCTACATTACATATAGTCCGCAAACAAAAATGTTTTCACAATTAATCAACAAAATATAACGACATACTTTATAACTTTCAATAAATATTAACAAAATTCAACCAAAAAACATACCCTTACTTTACATACAATCACAATAAGTTTTTTTTTACCAACAAATAACCTAAATATAACAACATACTTTATGACATTCAATAAAATTAACAAAAATCAACAAAAAATCATAACCCTAGTTTACATGCAATCAAAACAAAAATGTTTTCACAATCAATCAACAAAATATAACGACATACTTTATAACTTTCAACAAATATTAA